GCAGGCAGAATTACCTGACAAGTTTATGGTTAGAATACAACAATCTTGTAATAATTTAAACACTTACCATTTTCTTTGCCTTCATGACTTTATAACGATCAAAGTCTGTCATTCTGGCTTTCTGTTAAAAAGAAACAAAAAATCCTCATTCACCTTCCAACCCTCCAAAAAAGGTAAGCTCAGAATTCAAATGACTCTAAATCATTACCCTTTCTCTGGCTTCAATCTTCTTGGCCCATCTTGTAGCTGCCCATTTTGTACTGATATCTGCCTTTTGCCAGGCTTGTCGAACATACTTCTGACGGGCACTATAAAGAGCCAAGACTACAGATTAGGAAATCAGCTCTGAAGCCACACAGACCCAAGGACAGTTTTTACATCCTGAGCAGCACAGTTTATACCCACTGAAATTTTTTAAAAAAAGCATGAACAATTCCACTCACAATAGCATCAAATGAAAAAAATGCCAAGGAATAAACCTAACAAAGGACCTATACTCTGAAAACTATAACATGCTTATGAGAGACATTAAAGAAGATACCAATAAATGGAAACATCCCGTGCTCATGGATAGGAAGAATTAATATTGTCAAAATGGCCATCCTGCCTAAAGCGATCTACAGATTCAATGCAATCTATATCAAAATACCAACAGCTATTCTTCAATGAACTAGAGAAAATAGTTCTAAAATTCATATGGAACCACAAAGACCCCGAATAGCCAAAGCAATTCTGAGAAGGAAGAATAAAGAAGGGGGGTTTATGCTCCCCAACTTCAAGCTCTACTACAAAGCCACAGTAATCAAGACAATTTGGTACTGGCACAAGAACAGACCCATAGACCAATGGAACAGACTAGAGAGCCTAGATATAAACCAAAGCATATATGGTCAACTAATAATACGAAAGGGAGCCATGGATATACAAAGGGTAAATAACAGCCTCTTCAACAACTCTTGGCAAAACTGGACAGCCACATGCAAGAGAATGAAATTGTATTATTGTCTAACCCTATACACAAAAGTACACTCAAAATGGATCGAAGACCTGAATGTATGTCATGACACCATAAAACTCTAGGAAAAAACACAGGCAAAAATCTCCTGGACATAAAACATAAGCAACTTTTTCCTGAACACATCTCCTCGGGCAAGGGAAACAAAACCAAAAATAAATAAATGAATTTACAACAGCTAAGAAATGGAAGCAACCTAAGTGTCCATCAGCAGATGAATGGATAAAGAATATGTGGTACATATACACAAAGCCTTAAGAAGAAAACAAATCCTACCATTTGCAACAACATAGATGGAGCTAGAGGGTATTTTGCTCAGCGAAGTAAGCCAGGGAAAGACAAGTATCAAATGATTTCACTCATCTGTGGAGTATAGGAACAAAGAAAAACTGAAGGAACAAAACAGCAGCAGACTCACAGAACCCAAGAATGGACTAACAGTTACCAAAGGGAAAGGGACTGTGGAGGATAGGTGGGAAGGGAGGGATAAAGGGGAAAAAAATAGGGGCATTACTATTTGCAGATATAATGTGGCGGGGGGGCGGGGCACGGGGAGGGCTGTACAACACAAAGACAAGTAGTGATTCTATAGCACTTTGCTACACTGATGAACAGTGACTGTAATGGGATATGTCAGGGGGATTTGGTGATGGGGGTAGTCTAGTAAACAATGTTCCTCATGTAATTGAAGATTAATGATACCAAAAAAAAAAGAAGAAATGAAACTACATCATGCTAAAATGCTTCTGTACAGCAAAGGACACCAACAGCAGAACAAAAAGGCATCCTACAGTATGGGAGAATATATTTGTAAATGACATACCCAACAAGGGGTTAACATCCACAGTATACAACAAACTCACATGCCTCATCAACACCCAAAAAGCAAATAACCCTACTAAAAAATGGGTAGAGACTATGAACAGACACTTCTCCAAAGAAGAAATTCAGATAGCCAACAGGCACATGCAAAAATGTTCCACATCACTAATTATCAGGGAAATGCAAGTTAAAACCACAATGAGATATCACCTCACACCAGTTAGGATGGCCAACATTGAAAAGACTAGAACAACAAATGCTGGCGAGGATTCGGAGAAAGGGGAACCTTCCTACACTGCTGGTGGGAATGTTAAGCTAGTTCAACCACTGTGGAAAGCAATATGGACATTCCTCAAAAAACTAAACACAGAAATACCATTTGACCCAAGAATTCCACTCCTAGGAATTTACCCACAGAAAACAACTTCTCAGATTCACAAAGACATATGGACCCCTATGTTTATAGCAGCACTACTTACAATTGCCAAGATATGGAAGCAACCTAAGTGTCCGTCAGTAGGTGAATGAATAAAGATGTGGTACATATACACAATGCAATACTACTCAGCCATAAGAAATAAATTTTCCCATTTGTAATAACACGGATGGAGCTAGAGGGTATTATGCTCAAGTCAAGTAAGTCAGGCAAAGAAAGACAAATACCAAATGATTTCCCTCATTTGTGGAATGAAACAACAAAGCAAAATTATAGGAACAAAATAGCAGCAGTCAGAGACTTCAAGGCGACTAGTGGTTACCAAAGGGGAGGGGTAGGGGAGGTTGGGTGGGGAGAGAGGGAGGAGATTGTCGGGTAGCATGATTGGGGCTAAGAAAAAGATGGTGCAGCTCAGAGAAGACAAATAGGGACTCTGTGGCATCTTACTACAGTAATGGACAGTGACTGCAAGGGGTATGGGGGGGGACTCGATAATAAGGGTGAATAATAACCATTGTTTTTCTTGTGAAACCTTCTTAAAGAGTATATATCAATGATACCTTAATAAAAAAAAGCATAAGCAAAGTGCCCAAAGTACACTTCTTGTTAATCATCCCTCCAGCATTAAGCTCTAGAACACATAGTACGATGCACTTTTATTTCGTGTTCACTAAACCAGGATGTCTTATAATCTCAAACACACAATTTTACTAATAAAAAGAAACTCAAACCAGTCCATTTTCTGGATTTAAAGATCACCTCTGATCACATATATACAATTTTATGGTAATGGATGTGTAGAAAGCAGTTTCTTTTCCATAATGAATGAGGTAAAGGTAACCCTTAGGCTTCATGTTTTCATTTATATTATAATGCTTAAAGACCAAATGTCACTGCTGCACAGACAACTGTACAGAAACACAGATTGAATTCTACAATCCATATCACACTGAGCATCAATTCCTCATAAGCAGCTAGGAATTGAACCTCTTCAGTGGCTGTCATCGTGACATGATGTATGTAAAATACTTACCAAGTAACTGACACTGGATGCTCAACTAAGGATAGCTAGTATTCAAAGAGACCCAAGTTAGTATTTTTGTTTTGAAGCTGTTAAGTGACTAGAACATGTTCGGGAGACCAGAATTTCTTTGCTGTATAAACTTGAAGGGTGACAAGAAAAACAGGATAGCAAATCTGGATAAAGGCAAAGCCGGAAAACTACTATATGGTGGAAACATAATCAAAGGACATTTAAAAGATAAATAATGCCTGTCTACTTCTGTACTGCAAATCCCTCTTCTGAACTGCTCTCACTCTTCAACACTGCTTATTATATTCTCAAGTGGAAAACAACAAAACAGCAACATTTTTTTACTTAAACTAAGAAAACTTTTATTAGTATAAACAAGCTGGGGGAAGGGTGATAGTTGGTGCAGTTACCTGTGTGGAAACTTGAGGATGAAGTCAGTGAGCTGCATGCATTTGAATGGCATAGCCTGTCTCCTTACCTGAGTGCAAGGCCCATCAACCAAAGCCTAGGATACACAATACATGAGATTTAAACATCTCAGTGAAAAACATAATAGCATTCAAAACAGGTATCCTATATGTCTGTCCTTTCTGAATCATCAAATCTCTTACTATTTACGTGTTTTAAAAAGACTAAACTAACTTAACTACATATAATTAAGCAATTTTGAGTCTTTATTCCTTACATTTCCAACAAACATCTTTAAGTTCATTCACGGCCTTTGGTCAATCCCTTAGATTGTTCTCAAATTCAAGGGTTTTCTTTGTGCTGGGCGTTGTTCTGAACTCGCTTTACAAATAATCAGTTAAAAGCTCTTGCTAGTTTTAAGTGGCAGAAGGAATACTAAAACCCAATAGTACTGGCCAGCTCAAGTCTGTGCCTGAAACCTCTACTTTGAACAAAGGTACCATCGACAGCGTTGCCACTGCGACAATAATCATTATCTGCACACCACCCACTGCCGTGTTAGGTTGTGACATTTCTCCTTACACTTACCCTGTTCTGATCAATAACATCTACAATTGCGACCAGCTTCCCGGCGTGAGGCCCGAAGGAGACGTAAGCCACACGGCCAACCTCCACGAAGCGCCTGAACACCTAAAATGGGAGTGGGGGAGGTGCGTGGTGGAAAAACCAGCGATACTGATTAAAGATACTCCCTCGTTTATAAAGCTTTGCAGCTTAAATACAATGTAGCTAAGTACTGCGAGAAAATATTGAGGGGAATATGCTCATTTGCCACCGGACGACGCGGCTGAACGAAACGTTAGTGGCAGCAGCAAAGGCCGGTTCCGTAGGCCTCCAAGCCTGTGGGGCACGCACAAGCCCAGCCAAGCACACGTCGCCGGCCGCCCCGATCTTCCGGCTCCGCGGGATGGCGGCGTGCACGCGTGGCCCAAGGCGCGCTGGGCCTCCACGCGCTGTGCAGCGGCGCGTCCGGGAAACTCCTAAACTCTGCCCGCCCCGGGCCCTCACCGCACGCTACCTAAAACCCGGTGAGCGCCTCCGCCGAGCGGATGTGGAGCGGTAAAGTTGCCAAAATTGGAGCTCGCAACAGCTTTACTCACCATGCTGGCTGCGACCGGCGAGAAGGAAGAAAGCCTCCCCGCATTTGCGCAAGTGCAAGGCGGCCGCTCCGCCCCCAGCACGTAACGAGACGCAGACGTGGAAACGGATTGGTCGCGTCTACTGCGTTAACGCTCGCTGCTCCCCGGGAAAACATGGCGGAACTTCCCCGAGCCGGACTTTCGGCGAAAGCCGGCAGCGAGATTGGGTTTAGTGATAGGTGGGCGAGAGGCAGTCATTTCTTGGGACTTGAGGGTGAAGAATAGCACAGAAGGTAAGCCTTCCCCTGTAACACTGTCCGCAGTCCACTTAATTTTTTCTTTTAACATTCTTCCATCTTTCCTTTCACTACTTAGTATTATGATTTTTGTGTAAGTGTTGCTCATGGCTTAGTATTAGATGTTTCCTCTCCCTCAGTGACCCCAGTAATTTTGCTTCCCTTTCATTCTAAATGATTAGGACTTACAGAAAAATTGCAAAACTACTATAAATAATTCCCCTGAACTCTTCGCTTAGATTTTCCGAATGTTAACGTTTTACATTTGCCTTGTCACTCCACAATTTTTTTTCTGAACCATTTGAAATTGCAGGCATAATGTTCCTTTATCTATACACAAACGTGCTATCCTAAAAATAAGGACGTTATCTTACATAGTTAAATGATCAATATCAGCAATATAGTCTATTACTATATATAGTATATTATAGACTATTAGACAGTCCTTATTTAAATGTTACCAATTGGCCCACTTATGTCCTTTAGAACAAATGAACATTTTTTCCACTGGTGCATAATCTAATGGAGGATTAAAAACTGCATTTGTTTGTTGTGTCTAGTCTTTTAAAATCTATGACAGCTCCTAAGACATTCTTTTGTCTTTCATAATACTGGCATTTTAAATACAGGCTAGTTGTTTTGTAGAATGTCTCTAAATATGGGTTTGTCTCCATCATGCTAGGATTCAGATATGCATTTTTGCAAGAAATGCTACGCCCTAGATGCCTCACATCAGAACACATGCAGAATATCTCTCTGTCTAAGTATGGCAATGTTACCTTTCATTATTTGATTACGGTTGTTATCACTGTGCTGACAATTCCCTAATGTATTTCAGTCCTTTCCTCTAAGCTCTATACCAGTTGGTATCATCTCAGGGTTCTAGCAGCCTCTAGTGACCTGTGCCATTGCTCACTTCAATCTTTTCTCTGCTCACCAGTCAGAGGGATCATTTTAAAAAACAAATCAAATCATGTCACTTCTTTTTTTTTTTTTCAATTTTTAAAAGTGTTATTTTATTGTGGAAAGAACACTTAACATGAAATCTACCTTCATCAGTTTTTTTTTTTGGTATCGTTAATGTACAGTTACTTGAAGAACATTATGGTTATTAGACGCCCCCTATTATCAAGTCCCCCCCACGTATGCCATTACAGTCACTGTCCATCAGCGTAGTAAGATGCTATAGAATGATTACTTTTCTTCTCTGTACATACTGCCTTTCCTGTGTCCCCCGCACCTGCTACATTATGTGTGCTGATCATAATGCCCCTTTTCCCCCTTTATCCCTCCCTTCCCACCCATCCTCCCCTTTCCCTTTGGTAACTCTTAGTCCATTCTTGAGTTCTCTGAGTCTGCTGCTGTTTTGTTCTTTTGGTATTTTCTTTGTTCTTATACTCCACAGATCAGTGAAATCATCCGATACTTGTCTTTCTCCACCTGGCTTATTTCACTGAGCATAATACCCTCTAGCTCCATCCATGTTTTTGCAAATGGTAGGTGTATGATCTTTTTGATGTATTTTTGAATTCGGTTTGCTAATATTTTTTTGAGTATTTTTGCATCTGAGTTCATCAGGGATATTGATCTGTAATTTTCTTTGTGGTGTCTTTGCCTGGTTTGGGTATAACAGTGCTGTTGGCCTCGTAGGAGTATTCCCTCCTCTTGTAATTTTTGGAAAACTTTAAGGAGGATGGGTATTACAGCCTCACTAAGTGTTTGATAAAATTCAGCAGTGAAACCATCTGGTCCAGGAGTTTTGTTCTTAGGTAGTTTTTGATTACCAATTTAATTTTTCTGCTGGTAATTGGTCTATTTAGATTTTCTGTGCCTTCTTTGGTCAGCCTTGGTAGGTTGTATTTTTCTAGAAAGTTGTCCATTTCTTCTAGGTTATCCAGTTTGTTACCATATAATTTTTCATAGTATTCTCTCATAATACTTTGTATTTCTGTGTTGTCCGTAGTGATTTTTCCTTTCTCATTTTTGATTCTTTGTATGTGTGTAAACTCTCTTTTTTTCTTGATAAGTGTGACTGGGGGTTTATCTATTTTGTTTATTTTCTCAAAGAACCAGCTCTTGCTTTCTTTGATTCTTTCTATTGTTTTATTCTTCTCAATTTCATTTATTTCTGCTTTAATATTTATTATGTCCCTCCTTCTATTGACTTTAGACCTGATTTGTTCTTCCTTTTGTAGTTTCATTAATTGTGAGTTTAGACTGTTCATTTGGGATTGTTCTTCTTTCCTGAGGTAGGCCTGTATTGCACTATATTTCCCTCTTATCATGGCCTTTGCTGCATCCCACAGATTTTATGTTGTTGAATTATTGTTGTCATTTGTCTCCATATATTGCTTGATCTCTGTTTTTGTTTGGTCATTGATCCATTGATTATTTAAGAGCATGTTATTAAGCCTTTGTGCGTTTGTGGGCTTTTTCATTTTCTTTGTGTAATTTATTTCTAGTTTCATACCTTTGTGATCTGAGAAGCTGGTTGGTACAATTTCAGTCTCTTTGAATTTACTGAGGTTCTTTTTGTGGTCTAGTATATGATCTATTCTTGAAAATATTCCATGGGCACTTGAGAAGAATGTGTATCGTGTTGCTTTTGGATGGAGTGTTCTGTGGATGTCCATTAGGCCCATCTGTTCTAATATGTTGTTCAGTGCCTCTGTCTCTTTACTTATCTTCTGTCTGGTTGATCTGTCCTTTGGAGTGGGTGGACTGTTGATGTCTCCTAAAATGAATGCATTGCAGTCTGTTTCCCCCTTTAATTCTGTTAGTATTTGTTTCACATATGTAGGTAATCCTGTGTTGGGTGCAGAGATATTTATAATAGTTATATTCTCTTGTTGGACAGACCCTTTTATCATTGTGTAATGTCCTTCTTTGTCTCTTGTTACTTTCTTTGTTTTGAAGTCTATTTTGTCTAATACAAGTACTGCAACTCCTGCTATTTTTCTCCCTATTAGTTGCATAAAATACCTTTTTCCATCCCTTTACTTTCAGTCTGTGTATGTCTTTGGGTTTGAAGGGAGTCTCTTGTAGGTAGCATATAGATGGGTCTTGTTTTTTTTATCTATTCAGTAACTCTATGTCTTTTGATTGATGCATTCAGACCATTTACATTTAGGGTGATTCTCGATAGGTATGTACTTATTGCCATTGCAGGCTTTAGATTTGTGGTTACCTAAGGTTCAAGGGTATTTCCCTTACTATCTAACAGTCTAATTTAACTCACTTCTTATGCTATTAGAAACACAACCTAAAGGTTCTTTTTTTTCCCCTCCTTTTACTACCTCCTCCATTCTTTGTATGTTATAAATCATATTATGTACTCTTTGTCTATCCCTTGGGTGACATCTATTTAGCCTTAAGAACACCTGTAAGAGTCCCTCCAAAATGCACTGTAGAGGTGGTTTGTGGTAGGTAAATTCAGCTTTTGCTTATCTAAAAATTATTTAATCCCTCCTTCAAATTTCAATGATAATCTTGCCGGATACAGTATTCTTAGTTCAAGGCCCTTCTGCTTCATTGCATTAAATATATCATGCAACTCCCTTCTGGCTTGCAACGTTTCTGTTGAGAAGTCTGATGAAAGCCTGATAGGTTTTCCTTTGTATGGGATCCTTTTTCTCTGTCTAGCTGCTTTTAAAAGTCTGTCTCTATCCTTGATCTTTGCCATTTTAATTATTATATGTCTTGATGTAATCTTCCTTGGGTTCCTTGTGTTGGGAGATCTGTGCACCTCCATGGTTTGAGAGACTATCTCCTTCCCAAAATTGGGCAAGTTTTCAGCAATTACCTCCTCAGTGACACTTTCTATCCCTTTTTCTCTCTCTTCTTCTTCTGGTACCCCTATAATGCAAATATAGTTCCGTTTGGATTGGTCATGCAATTCTCTCAATATTCTTTCATTCTTAGAGATTCATTTTTCTCTCTGTGCCTTAGCTTCTTTGTATTCCTCTTCTCTAATTTTTATTCCAATTATCGTCTCTTCTACTACATCTAATTTGCTTTAAATCACCCCACTATACATTTCTTTTCAGATATGGAATTTGTTAATGATTGAATCTCCAACTTAAATTCGTTCCTGAGTTATTGACATTTTTCTGTACCTCTATAACCATGTTTATAATTTTTATTTTGAACTCTCTTTCAGGATATTGGTGAGTTAAGTTTCATTTGGGCCTTTTTCTGGGGTTTGTGAAATTTTGGTCTGAACCATGTTCTTTTGACATTTCATATTTCTGTGTAGTGCCTACTAGTGGCCAGAAGTTCCAGTCTCTGGAGCTGCTCAGCCCCTAGAGTGAGGTTGGGGATTGTTGGAGAGCAGAGCTGTTGCCTGGAGGGAGGAAAGATCTGTTTCCTGATTCCCGTCTGCGGTGCCTGTCAGAGCCAGTGGGCCAAGCACACAGGTTTAATTCTCTGTGCCTTGTGTCTCTCCCTATTGAAGGCGGGGCCTCCCTGTGGCTGGCCTGACACCAGCACAGTGACTGCCAATTTGCAAACTCGTACCAGCAGGCTAGGAGGAAGGCACAGCAGGCTGCGTGTCACAGTGGGTTGTCTCAGACCTGAGAATGCAGCACCTCAAGCTCCTAAATGTTCCCAACTAGCTGGGAAGAGCGTGCCCAGACAACCTTGTCCTGCTCTTCCTTCTCCTGTGTAGCAAGCTCTGTGCAAACACTGGCCCTTCAGCAGCCCTCTCACTGCTAGGAAGCCTCTCAGACTGCCTGCCTTTCCTCTGACACAGAGCGGTTGGATATGGATCCATGTACTTCACAAACAGCCAGAATCACAGTCTATCAAGCACTCCACCTGAGCTCCCAGCCTCCAGAGCACCACACAATATAGGTTTCTGCTCACAAACCAGATCTCCAGGGCCACGGGTTCAGCAGTCCCAGTCTTCCACCCCCTCCCCACTCCGTTTCTCTTCCACCGGTGAGCTGGGGTGGGTTAAGGCTTGGGTCCCGCTGGATTAAGGCTTTCATATGTTACCCTGTTCCGTGAGGTCTGCTCTGTTTGTGAGGTCTGTGTGCAGTCTGGTTCAGCATTCCTTCTTGTTGCTGTTTTAGGGTTAGTTGCATTAACTATATTCTTTTACTATTTGTGGTTTTGAGAGGAGTTTTCCGTCTCACCTCTCACACTGCCATCTTGAATCTCCACATCACTTCTTTTTTAAAAACATTTGGATGGCTTTCTACAGTATTTTGAGTAAAGTATATATTCTTATCTGCAAGGCCGTGCATCGTATATTCCTATATCCAAACCCATCTTATGCCATCCCTTCTTCCTCTTCTTCACTGTGCTTCAGCCACACTGGTCTTGAACAGACCAAGCTCTCTCCTGTTCTATCACTTGTGCACAGAGTCTCTTCTCTTTCCGGAATGCTCTTCCTTCTGTTCATACTTACTGCATGGCAGTGCCAATACATCGCTTGTACTTTTTATTACTATTCCTTTGAGACTTAACTACCATATAAAATAGTTCATTCTGATTCCCCCTTTTCTAGCTCAGCTTTTTGTTTTCCTCACAGCTATTATCACAGTTGCAGTTGTCTGACTTATTTTTCTGTCCATGTAGATTGTAGTTTTGTGCCAATCAATAAGTTCCTTGAGGGCAGGAACTTGGCCATTTTTTCTTTGTACAATGGGCCTAATAAATGGGTAGTAAGTGAGGTAGTCTTTAGGCCTTAGTATCTTGCTTTATCATTTAAAAGGCGAAAGACATGAATAAGAATGTTCATAGCTGCATTTTTTGGTAATAGTCCCAAACTGGAAACTGTGCAAAGGGTATAAGTAAGAGAATGGATAAAAGTAATGGAGTCAACAACTACACAGAACAACGTGAATTTGTTAGGGGGTGTTGTGTATTTTCCTTGGTTCTTGTCCCCCGACCCGACACAGTAGTGAAGCAGAGTAAAAATTTTATTTAAAGTTACTTAAAGACAGAAAAATGTGCAGGCAACCTCAGGGAGGAGAGGTGCCTTGAAAGTTCAAGTTTTATTGAAAGAGGTAAAATATCCACACTTAAAAAGCATGAGCAGCCTCAGAGAGGTGTATGCTAAAAGGTTGGGGGTTTCCCCTTTTAAGGATTTTTTCACAAATGTGATAAAGGGTTGGGGGTGCAATTTGTTAAGTGGTCTCTGAATATTTAAAATTAATTTAACACAGGAAATTTACTGCTCTGATTTCTCCCTGAGATACCGGTGTCTTGGTCTAGGAGATTTCAAAGAAGATTGCCTGCCCTGCCCCTGAGTTGAGCTGAGGGGTCTGTTTGCTAAAGAATATGTTAAGAAACTTCCTTCTTAACTTCCTGGGTCTTAAAATGCAATCTTATCTTTAAGATGGAATCTTTCTTGCTTTTACTGTTGTTTATGGCTGGGCTTGCTTGCACATTAATTGCCCAGGTTGTAAATTACTTGATTATGGTCTGGAGGAGGAGAAAACAGTATACAGGTTAAGTTAAAGAATAAGCTGGCCTTTTAGCAGGCTAAAGTAAATCTTACAATGGCATGATCTAAATGACACAGTGAAGACATGTGCTCAGATACTTTTCCTTATCTGGGGAATGTTAAAACATTCCAGGCCAAGTTGCTCCTGGCCTTTTTTTGCGCTTTAACTGATTAACTCATTAACTCTTGAGTCTCTTGTATAAGCTTTACTGGCCTTAATTCCATTTCCACCCTGCTCATATCTGTTTTCCTGCCTAACAAATTTACATATAACACTCAATGAAATAAGCCAGATAAAAGAGTATACTGTGTGATCTCATTTATATAATATTTAAAACAAGCAAACTATGATTTGTTATGAAGTGATGATCATGTTTACCCCTGGTGCATAGAGCAGTGGCTGGAGAGGAAGAGGGGCTTCTGAGCTGCTGGTGGTTTTTTCATCTCAGTGTTCATTAAAAGTTGTGAAAATTCAGTCTTTATGATTTGTGCCTCTTTCCAAAATCAATCTTTCCTGGTTCTGATAAGGAAAAATTTACAAGGACAGCAAATTACAAGGACAGCAGTCTAATCCAGGTGGCTCCCTGCTGCTGCTCTTAGCAAAGACAATAGAAACTCCCTTAACTTCTCCCTCCCCTTCACTCCCCACTCTGCCAGGCACTTACTTCCTAAACTCACTCCCTGTTGTCTGCTCGCTTGCTGTGCATGTAGGAATGTTACAGATACAGAAGCAGAAAGATATATATTGCTCTGTTTGCCCTTTTTCAGGGCTCAGACTTTTGGGAGCTTACTCCCCAGTGAGCCTGCCAGTGTGAAATAAAGCCTCAACACTCCAAGACCTCTGAGTGCCACTTGCTTCTTCCATCAGTGATCCAGTCCAGGTTTTCTCAGTATTTTCCATAACATTTGGTTCCCTGACCAGGAAACCCAACTGCGCTGGCCCTTTGTTGCCACCATTTTGGGGCAAATGGCAGGATAGTGAAGGAACAGTAGATCATAACAGAGAAGATGCACACTGCCTGATCTTTCGGCAGTCTCCCACCTGGTTGCCCTGGGCCGGCCCCACTCCGCTGTTCCCGCTGGACTCAAGAAGTCTTGGCAAGTGAGGACCTGCCTGGTTCTGACATCGAATCTGGTAAGGCCCCGGGGCACCTGACCCAGCCAGTCCCACCCATTGAGGTCAAAAGGGAACCTGATCACCTCCAAGAGACTTCTTAAAAGTCTCACAGGTAGACATTCCCAGGGAGGAAAAGTTTAAACTCTGGTCTGAGTGTGTTGAGTGAGTGTGCAGGGTGGCTGAAGTCATTCAGTCTGCACTGAATCTGTGATTCCACAGCCTACGCTACAGTATCTGAGTGGGCCCTTCACCACATTCACGTTCAGCCGTCATGACATATTGGTGATTCAGCTTTGGCTGATCTGGCCCAGGACTTATACAGGTGCACCTTAGTCAAGGCTGAACAAAGTCCCCACGAGGAGCGCAAATGGATGGGCATCTGACTGGTCTCCTCTCTAGAGGAGGCACCCCTCCCTTGTCTGTTGTTGCAGCACCATCCACAGACATGTTATGGGGTCAGGGCATAGTAACCCCATAGTCCTTGACATTATGATCAAGAATTTCAGGAAGAGATTTTTCAGAAGATTATGGAGTGAAATTAACTCCTGGCAGGTTAAAAGACCTGTGTTAATCTGAATGGCCCACCTTCAGTGTAGGGTGGCCTCAGGAAGGGTCCCAACAGTCCGCCAAGTCTGGCGGGTCATCACTGGAGATCCAGGTCATTCTGACCAATTCCCATACATGGACTCCTGGTTAGGAGTTGCCCAGACTCTTCCCCCTTGGGTGCAATTCACTTACAACAGGCAGGAACAGGGTAGGGTCTTAGTTACATCAGCAAAGAAGCCTGCAAAGAATCAGCAGAAGCCTAAGCCGCCTACAGTTCTTGCTGGTGACCTGGAGGAAGAGCTAATATTGCCCCCACCTTATGTGCCTACAGGGACGTCAGCACCCAGTCCCTGAGTCCCAGACACCCCACCACCACCAGCCTCCCTGACAACTCCAGAACCAGTGGACCTATTCTCACCTGGACCAGCAGCCAGACCACCCTCAGCCAGGAGCAGGCACCCTTCAGATGCCAGTGAAAGAGGTGCGGGAGCCTGAAAGACATAATATGGGACCAACCAGTGCAGCCAGTCCATGTTTTACTGTCAACCCTTCTCCACAAATGACACCTGGTCAGAAAAGTCACAAGCCCTAGTTGATCTCATGGAATCCCTCTTACAAATCCATCAGCCCACCTAAAAAACTGTTAACAGCTTCTCGACTCCCTGTTCACAATAGAATACAGGAGGCAGCCATGGTCCTTGATTGGGGTGCATGGGCTGAAATCACTGTCCCCAAGGAGCACCCCGAGTGTCACTTCACCACCCCTGATCAGCCGATATCAGGACACCCTCCTCCAGGGGATCAAAGCTGGGTCCAAGAAGCCTATGAACATGACCAAAGTATCTTCAATCACTCAACAACCAGGAGACTCTCCTGGGGACTATTATAAAAGACTGTGTGGAGATTATTGCATCTACACCCCCTTCAATTCTGAGACACTAGGGAGCCAACAAATGGTCAACACCTCATTCATAGCTCAGGCCACCCCAGACATCAGAAAAAAAGCTCCAAAACTTGAAAACTTTGCCAGGATGAATATCACTCAGCTGATTAAAATTGCCAACAAAGTGTATCTAAACAGAGAAGTTCAGGCAGACAGGCTGAAAGAAAAAAGAAAAAGGCCAGCTTCCTGGCAACTGCCCTAAAAGAAAAAGAGATGACCAAAAGGCAGAGAAAAGCTGGCTGCCAGGAGGGAGGAAGCCTAGGACGCCCCTAGCCAGGGACCAGTGTGCTTAATGTGAAGAGAAGGGGCATTGGAAAAACAAGTGCCCCAACCGAGGCAAAGCCCTGAAGCTCGGTCACTGCCGGAAGGAGCCATGCAGGGAAAGGCTCACTGGCCTGCTAGGAGCAGACTCAGCCTGACAAGGCCCGGGCTCTCGCACTCGGCCCCCATGAGCCCACGGTCAGAATGAAAGTGGGGAGACAACAAATGACTTTTATGGTTGACACAGGGGCACAACACTCTGCAGTCACCACGCTTCAGTAAAAAGACTGCAACTATTCTCGGAGCCACTGGTACATAAACAGTCCAGTAACACTTTTGCCAAACCCACCAGTGTGAATTTGGAGGCTACAAGGCCCAACATGAGTTTCTCTACCTGCCCGAGTGCCCCATTCCCCTCTTCAGCCAAGATATACTCTCAAAGCTTGGAGCCCAAATACCTTCTGAACCAACAGGATGCACCAGCCTCAAACTAAACCCAGGCCAAGAAGAGCCAGGGTCCCTCGTGCTGGCAATAACCACACCCAGGGAAGAGGAGTGGAGGCTGTTCTGTGCCCAGACCCTCTCAAGTAGCTCACCTGAAGTCAGAGCTGCCTTCCCCTTGGTATGGGCTGAAGACAACCCACCTGGACTTGCTCATAACCAAGCCCCTGTCATTGTAGAATTGACTCTGGGGGCCCAGTCACACAGACACTGGCAGTATCCCCTCACAAGCAGGCATCCAGGAACACTTGATCAGACTCAGAGAGGCAGGTATTCTAACTGAGTGTCAGTCGCCCTAGAACACCCCACTTCTACCAGTCAAGAAGCCAGGAGGAGGGCACCATCCTGTTCAAGACCTGCAAGCCATTAACAGAGTGACTGTTTCTTTACACCTGGTGGTCCAAAACCCGTACACCCTCCTCAGCTAGATCCCAGAGTCTGCCAAATGGTTCACTTGCCTAGACTTTAAGGATGCCTTTTTCTGACTCCGTCTTGACCCCCAAAGCCAGCTCTTGTTTGCCTTTGAATGGACTGAACCAGACATCAGGTGTCAGATGCTGTTAAGCTGCACAGGGCTTCCACAAGAGTTCAAGAACTCACTGACTCTCTTTGGAGAAGCATTGGCTGCAGACCTTGCCAGCTTTCTGAGGGAAGCTACACACTGCGCCCTCCTCCAGTATGTAGATGACCTCCTCTTTGCCAGTGACACTGAGGAAAATTTTTTGAAAGTCACAAGGGCCTTCCTACAACTCCTGTCAGACTCAGGATACTGAGCCTCATGGAAAAAGGCACAAATCTGCCATCAACAAGTCCATACTTGGTCTTCCTCCTCACCCAGGGAGAAAGGACACTAGAGCCAGAGAAGAAAAACATCATTGACTCCTTCCCCAGCCCCAGATGGGGGTGGGGTGGCAAGTGAGAATTCCTAGGAGCCACCAGGTTCTGCAAAAATCTGGATTCCCAGATTCTCAGCAATGGCATGGCCCCTCCTCAACCTCCTGTGCGGGCCAGACTGTAAGCCCTCTGTCTGGACAAAAAAGGCAAGAGTTGCCTTCCTGGAAATAAAAGGTGCTTCAAAACAAACACCAGCCCTTGGCCTGCCAGATAAAAAAGGCGCTTCAATCTCTTTGTGCATACAAAAGTAACAATTCTGCATCGCAAAAAACATCAAAAGAAAAACAACCCTGTAACACAGGAGAACCAGCTAGCAGATGAAGCAGCTTAAACAGCGACCAATAAAAAAACAGATAAAGCTCCTTCCCTCAGTATGGCCCTAACACCCCCAGTGGAGTCCCCTCCACTGAAGCACACTAAAAAGAAAAAGACTGAGCCATAGCTGAAGGAGCCAATCTATAAAAAAAAAAAAAAAAACAATCCTACATCAGCCAGTAGTACTGCCTGCATTATGCCTATCAGTAAGTGAGCAATACATGACTTGTGCCAAAAATAACTCTTGATCAACACCACAACCCCGCCCAGTGTCCAAACAGCAGGACTTGCCGCCTTTAAATACCTCAAGATAGACTTCACAGATATCCAGCCAAGCAGGGGACTCAGATATCCTTAGTAATAGTATGTGCATACTCTGGCTAGGTCGAAGTCTTCCCAACCAGGACAGAATGAAGCCAGGAAGTAGCCAAAGTCCTTCTGACAGAAATAGTGCTCCAGTTTGGCCTACCATCCACAATCCACAGTGACAGTGGGCCTGCCTTTGTAGCAGATGTACTACAAATGTTAACTAAAATCCCTCAACATTACCTGAAAACTTCACACTGTGTACAGGCCACAGAGTTCAGGGAAAGTAGAGTGAATGAATCATACCCTCAAAGGAACCCTAGCTAAATTTTGCCAAGAAACTGGACTTCCATGGCCAGATTTACTGCCCCTGGCTCTCCTGCGTGCTCGCTGCACACTTGGAACTAAAGGTTTTTCCCCTTTTGAATTAGTGTATGGACACCCTCCCCTGTGTCTAGGAAGCATCCCAGGGAACCTACACCAAATAGGAGATGAGAGAGCAAGAGAACAGCCCCAAGCCTTGGGAGCCACCCTAAGTAAGCTACAACAATACCCCATAGAGCCCTGATCTCTCTAGGAATGCAGTACATTCCTTCCAGGCTGGGGTCTCAGTCTGGGTTAAAGATTGGAAAAGGACCCCTTCAAACCTCAGTGGACTGACCCCCACATTCTAACTACTACTGCTCTCAGGGCTGCAGGCATCACTCCGGGGGTCCATCATTCCAGAGTGGGAAGGGCCCATCCTGACAAGGAAGCACATCAGTGGAGGCCCAGCCAGACCTCCAGATCCTCTCCACCTCCACATCCTATGATTGCCCTCTGACTAATGGACACCTCTGCTCCGTGGATCCTGGCCCTCGCTGGAGTGGTGTCTTTCATTCTGGGCATTGGACTCTCTGCTGCTGCCCCCTCTGACTAAACTGTTCCTCAAAAAAAGTTGCCCTGTCTATTGTCTATTGGGTAATTGTTAAGTTGTTCTGCTCTGCTTACCTGTCTCTCTAGCTGAACTCAAGTCTCAACCTGCATTTCCAAAGTACCTCTCTATAATGTTTAACTGTACAAAAGTTATAAAGTGTATAGTATGCCTGAAGGAAGCTGCCTCCTTTCCCCTGGTGAGATTTCCTGGGCAAAATGGTCTGCCCCTTTGCTGATCCCTGCTCTAGTTGGGCTCAGTGTAGATGGATCAGCTGCAATAGGCACAGTGGACCTAATATAAAGAGACTTAGGGCTTGCTGCCCTAACAGAGGAAGCTGATCAAGATTTAGAGAAGCTTGAAACCACCACGATTCAGCTCCAAGATCAAATTGATTCCCTGGCTGAAGTATTGTTACAGAATCGTAGCGGATTGAACCTCCTCTTCATGTCCCAGGGAAGCTTATGTGTAGCCCTTGGAGAAGATTGTTATTTTTATGCAAACAGGTCTGGAATAGTTAGGAGCTCTCTAGCCACAGTAAAAGAAAATATCCTGCATAGGAATAAGATGTTAGAAAACAAAAAGCCTTGATTCCAAGGATGGTTTGAATGGAATTCATGGATAACAACTCTTCTAACTGGCCTTGCTGGGCCAGTGATTCTGATGTTCCTCAGACTATTTAGGACCCTTCATATTTAACTGGCTCATTAACTTTATTAAGGAATGCATTTCCTCCATACAGCTCATGTATATGCGGAGCCACTATGACCTTCATAAACCAGGAAAATGATGCCCCTTTTACTGATTGGAATGCCCATCTGTCCTGCTTCCAATGTTGTGCAGAAGATACTTGCTCTGCCTCTTCCTCTGAAGGTACTATATATATGTAGCACACCTTGCCAGAGCAATGTTAAGCCATCATTCTGGGAATGTCTGAGCAGCAAATACCTGGGCAGCACAATGTCTCTGAGTCTTTCCTGTGGGTCTGCTGCTCTGAGGCTTAGCACTCAGGCCCCACCCAGCTGTTGAAGAGCCTTGTACAGACGTCTTGCTTATATATCATTTGGGGCCTCCCAGCCAATGTGCACCTAATTCACAGGGCTCACCCTGTGGCATGGGGAACCTGCCTATAGTGCACACTTTACTCTGGGCTTCTCTGAAGGAGCCAAGCAGGAGGGTGAAAAAAAGGCCCTTTTAAATTTCCAGGCAGAATTCATTGTATGGAAATGTTTCTCTGTCACCCAGGCTGCCTGAGCAAGGCATCAGGCTAAATGTCAACACACTGGAATGTCTACCGCTCAGTAAGAGAGCCATTTCAGGCCTTCATTCAGGTGGTTAGAGTGCAGGCACACAGGCCAGCCATGGAATGCACATCACAAGCTCACTTTGAGCAACCACTATGGTGATCTGAATGATTACTTGAATGGGGCATCCTGCACTGCCTTCTTTTACTCACCAAAGTTGAGTCCCAATCTGACTTGCCTCCAGTGATGTTACTGGAAAGCATGTTGTTCTGCAGCTCCCCTTGAGGCAGTGCTAAGGCCTGTTCACAGTACACATATCTCTGCGAGTTAGAGTGCATAAAGACAGGACAGCCTTGTACAGCAACATTTACTAAAGTTTTCCACATCATATAGGAGCAAGTTGCATGCAAGGGGCAAGCAACCTAGTGTTCTCTCAGGCAGGCCTCCTCAGTCCATGCTGGATAATCTCCCAGGCAGTGTTTGGCAGAAGGCACTTGTGCAGCTGTTTCTTGTTACGCTGGAGGAAGAAAAAGCAAGGACATGCAAACAGAACAGAGAGATACCATAAAAGGAGAACAGACCAGACCCTAAGGTCCATGCCTTATATGGAAAGGGGACAGCTCTTTCTGAATTCCAGCCTTCTGATGTGCCAACTAAGACCTGGAAGTCAGCCTCCTCCCTCTTGGAAGGAAAAAAGTTTCTAGTTGTCTATTATGTCACCTTTAGCCAATCATACCTCTCCACGCCCCCTAGGATAGCTTGCCCACTCCTCCCCCTCCTAACCCCTTATAAGCCCCCACCTCCCTGACCGGATGTGACTTCCCCGGCCTGTGATAGCCAGACCATGGAACATCACCTGGGGATTTGCAAATAAACTACCTGCCCCTTTGTTGCCTCCCTTTGCCTGCTTATTTCGGCTAAAATTTATCTTACATTTGGTGCCGAAATCCCAGGAAGGAGCATGAGCGTGAGGCCCCAACCGGTCACCAGTGACCCTGCCCCCTCCTTCCCCGACCCGGGACCTCAGCCTGCTCTCCGCTGCATGGACTATTTTCCGGTGAGTCCCTCAGTTTCCCCCGGTCTGCTTCCCTTCCTAACTCTGATTCACCTGGTCTGTTACAAATCATATGTATGTCCAGGTGGGGGCATCTGGCCCCTTGGGCATCCAGCCTACCCTCTGCAGGCATCCAGCCTGCCCCTGGTCCTGCGGTGCGGGAACTGTCCCTCACCCAGGCTCCCAGGACATCTCCTCTGACTTGGCGCGCTTGGGACACTGGGTGCTCCTCTCAGCGGGATTAGTTGGGGAGTGATGCAGATATGGGAAACCAGCCCTCAAAAGCAGAGGCTCAGACCCCACTGCAGTGTCTCCTTTCTAATTTGGCTGCTCTATATTTGTCCTGGGAAGTTCACAAACGGAAGCTGGTCTTTCTTTGCTCTGAGGCCAGGCCTCAGTATCCCTTGGACAGTCAATCTCGCTGGCCCCCTGAGGGAACTTTCAGTTTTGGCCTCCTCACCAACTTGATTAATTATTGCCACTAGAGTGGAGAGTAGAGTGAAATCCCGTATGTGCAGGCTTTTTGGACTTTGCGCTCCCGCCCAGACCTTTATGTTAAGTGTTCAATGACTCAGGTTCTCCTGGCCCGATCTCCAGTTAAAGATTGTCAGCCTCTTACTCTGCCCAGTCCTTCTTCCTTTTCAGATCTGCCAGAAGACCTCAGGCGCCCACCTCCCTCAGCTCGCGATCCCTCCCCTTCTCTCCACCACCATCTTTAAGTCCTTTGTCTTCACACATGTCACCGCCATCTTAAAGTCCTACATTCTCACCCATGCTGTTGTCCTGCTCTCCTCTTCCAGTGGCTGCACCACCCCCTCCCCCTCTCCTTCCGCCTTCACCGCCCTCTTCCCCCACCGGAACACGCTCCTCCCACCCTCTGGTTCCAGAAGCCACAGATAGGAATCTGAAGAGAGAGAAAGCAATTGGATATCAGTGACTCAAGTCTTTATATAGGTTTGTCTGTGTATATGTTTTTGTGTGGGAGGTGTTGCTGACTGTAGTCGTTGTGTCTCAGTTTGTATGTTTGTGTGTCTAGGTGTGTAAATGAAAAATATTTTCCTACCTCTGGATGGTATCAATAAAATTTGATTTAAAAATAAGCGCTTGTGAAAATTGGGCATTCTAAAACTTCCAGAAAATCTGATAAAAAATGTTAAGCATTAATGCTAATTTGGGTTTGGCTGAGGCAGACATGTCCTTGTGGTTATCAGCTGCCTAAGTTTACCTAAGGTCATTTAAGTTGATGTTATCTGCTAAATCTTTTAAGAATAAAATGCTTAAAGGCTTGGCTTTGTCTAATATTCAGTAAAGGTCTTGTAAGTAATATAGTTGTTACAAATGAGTGAACTAAAGTGTGGCAAGTGAACACCTTTTTAATTGTGTGTTAGAGTGTATACCTATCTACAGCCTAAAACTTTGTGGTAACCTAAAACCTTAAAATTTTGCTAAGTTAAAAAGATATACTTTGTGCTTAGTGTGAGATTGTGTCATAAAGTTCATAGTTAACAGAAATTATAAAATTTTCATCAATTTGTCGGTCCAAACAATGCTAGTGTAACAGTTTACAATAGCCTGCCTCTCAGTGTTCACTAAAAATTAAAATAACTAATAGTTTTAAGTTCTAATTCAAACTACTTAAAGTAATAAGGAAAACATTTCTGCATACTAAAGAATGTGTCTTGATAAAAGAAAGTAACTTTGTTCTAAAGTACAGCTGTTTATTTAGAGAGAGAACTCTAAATATGAAAAGAAAGTTGTAGAAAGTTTGTAGAATTTAATATAGTCATGCTATATACAATTAAAGCAAATGAATCTCAGTATCAAGTACACAGCAAAATTAGAATTTTTTTTTGGTTAAAAAGAAAGTTTTCTTAACTGTTACTCTGCTCTTACTATTGAAAAATTGCAAAAAGTTATCTAATTGTTTTATCAAAGCAGTTTCTCATGCTTAAAGTCTCAATGAGTTGTCGGAGTATTTAAGAAAATGAGATCTTAATATTAAAAGGACTAAAAGCTAAAGTTTGCTAACAATTGTGTAACCTTCTTTATTTGCCTTTGAAGTATTTTGTTGTCATTCTGGTTAAATAGATAAGTATTGCTTCATAGCAACCTATAATCCTATTTAAGCAAGTACCTTAAAACTTTTAACAGCTTCCCAAAATCAAACTCAAAAAGTGCTTTTTACCTCTAGTTCACTCTGATGTTTTCCAGAGGGCCCCTGGAACATGTCAGAGGAACTTTTTCTCATTGGAGAAAGTATTTGGCTAATTTAGCTTATTTATCTGATCTATAATTACCTGCTTAATTACCTAGAAAGCACTGTCAAAAAGAATAATGCTAAACTTTGTTACTGAATGTTTTGTGTTACAGAAATATCAGAATTTCCTTATGTCAACTGTCTTGTATGTAAGCTCTCATCAGATCTTTAACCATTGTCATTTGTAAGTCTTTTATTATTTATAGTCACTGTTTTATTACTCTTAAGCTAGTAAAGAACTAGATTTCAGCAGAACAAGTATTAGTTACATAAGATTAAGTAAACTAAAGAAGATGGTTTTGTGGCTTTTTGTTTCAAATGTTGCTGATAAAGTGTTTTAAGCTTTTTTTCTTAAGCTGACAACAGTTTAGTAAATGCTGCCTTTATAAGCAGAATTGAGACCTTATTTTTCTCTCTACCTGATCCCTCCAGAATTAAACAAAAAAAAAACTCAGTGACTATTTTTATATTTCATGGCAGTATGTTTATTTGCACAAGTTCAATAAGAATCTGCTTTCTTTGTAAGAAAACCAATTAGAAACACTGGTTATATTACCAATGCTTTGACTGGAACGTCATACCTGAGAAGCACGTGTGTAAACTCAGATATGAACAGACAGCTTTAAGGAATAAGATTGACTTTATAAAGCTAACAAAGCCCCTTAGAAGAACTGGCCTGGTACCTTGCTTACAGAGTTCCCAGCAGCCTTACCAGGTGAGTAAGGAAGGTCACTTCCTGGCAGGTGCAGGAACCTCAGGAATGTCTTGGGAACCTCAAGAAGAGAGGAATTCACACAAATCTACAGGTACTGCAGGCACAACCTGATGTCAAGTCTGGCTTGGCTTTCTGGCCCCAAGAAGCCCTTAAAAGTTCAATATGAAATTCCTTACAAAAAGTTCCAGCAAAGTGTATTTAAAAGAGCCTATGTAATCAATTGCTCTTCTTGCTGCACTTATGCAAATAATCAAGCCAAGTGTTACTTATATTCTTAACCTACTTACTTCTAATAAAAATGAGGGTGATTTTAGAGAAAAGTGTTGTTTCAATAATGCAGTCTTATCTATACTAAATCCTAATACTAGTCATTGAGATGTAAACTCAATCCAGAATTCTAGTTTCCCCATGATACCCAGCTGATTCCCAATTAGACTCTTCATATTTCTAGTTCTCATATTCAGCCATGCATTCTTAATCTCATCAAGTTTGTCCTTCCAGAATAGGGAATCCAACTCCAGATGTTGCTGCTTAACCTAATAACAATTTGTTCTATCTTGCCTAGAAGCCACAAAACTGCAAATAGTAATAGAAATGAAACCCAGAATAGAAGTGCCAACTTTCCAAAGCCCTCTCAACTGACCAGTGATGGAGACCTAGCTGCACCCTTTACTGCGCCCCCTCTCAGCATGAAGCAGCCAGAGCGGTCATCACCCCTTTTCCCTAGCAGCAGCTAGAGTCTCTATCTGTAGAGGAGAGAATGAGACAGGGACCATAGGCTTAGACAGAATAAGGTGAGAGCTTCTGGAGAAATCAAGGCAAAATATTTGCAGTCAGAGCAATGTAACTACATGCTACGAAACCCCACCCCCACCCCCATGATGCCCCTTGTCTGCCGGAAGTAGCCAGATCGAGTCGTCACCCATTATGACCAAAAGGCTGGAATGTTAAGCTGGAGGAAAGAAAAGCAAGGACATGCAAACAGAACAGAGAGATACCATAAAAGAACAGACCAGACCCCAAGGTCCATGCCTTATATGGAAAGGGGACAGCTCTTTCTGAATTCCAGCCTTCTGATGTGCCAATTAAGACTCGGATGTCAGCCTCCTCCCTCTTGCAAGGAAAAAAGTTTCTAGTTGTCTATTATGTCACCTTTAGCCAATCATACCTCTCCACGCCCCCTAGGATAGCTTGCCCACTCCTCCCCCTCCTAACCCCTTATAAGCCCCCACCTCCCTGACCGGGTGTGACTTCCCCGGCCTGTGATAGCCAGACCACAGAACATCACCTGGGAATTTGCATTCAAATAAACTACCTGGCCCTTTGTTGCCTCTCTTCACCTGCTTATTTCGGCTAGAATTTATCTTACATTTCTGACACTTTACTACAGAAGCATCTTCAGGACATTGCTATTTCACATAGAGGAGGAGGCTGCCCTGTACATCTTCTTCTAGGGCACTGAGGAAACAAGGCCCTTGTCTTGGATTGCAAACCCTTGAAGAAAAGACCCAATGAGAACAAGGTTTCTTCAGTGTGCTTGAAAGTCACAGTATTAGGCCTGTACAGAAACATTTAACCTAGGACTCAATACACATGCTTCTTTATCCCTGCAGGTCACAGACATGTCTTCACAAGTTAGTTCAGGTAGATAGCACTCAGACTCATTCCTGCGTGTTGTAGGGATGAATGGATGATCAGGTGCAAGGAGCCCCAAAAACATCTTCCCTTTATGCTATTTGGAAATCCTATTCACAGCACTTATCTCTGGGACTTAAATGTCACACAGAGAAGACACTTCTGTACACCTAAGTTTACCCATTCCATTCTTTATGTATTAGGAGCAAGGAAGTGAAAGGAGTTCGGTGCAGTGTCAGATCAACAAGTTAGAGCTTAGGCTCAGAGAAAGAAATTCCAGTACAGTTTAGAATTCAGCTTCACTAGCTATAAAGAGCAGCTTACTTGGAACACACTTCCTGTGCTGCCTGCTTTTGGCCTATTGACCATAATGCCCAGTGATCCTGATTCCATTGTGCAGAGAGCAACTTACACTGCTTCTTCCTCTGAGGGTACCAAGAAGACCTCTTCACAGTACACTTGTATCTGGCAGTACAAATATATATATGTAGCACACCTTGCCAGAGCAATGTTTAGCCATCATTCTGGGTATATCTGAGAAGCAAATCTTCTGGCAGGAGAAAGTCTCGGGGCCTTACCCCTTTCTTGCATCTTGTTCCTATGTGATGTGGAAAACTTAGTAAACGTTGCTGTACAAGGATGTCCTCTCTATATGCACTCTAACTCGCAGAGATGTGTGCTGTGAATAGGCCTTAGCACTGCCTCAGGGGAAGGTGCAGAACAACATG